CTATAAACGTTTGCTTTTCTCTAATAAGAACATTCAGATGCAACATATTCCCAGCTACTTGCACTCCAACTATTCCAAATTGATCTTTTTCCAGTTTAAGGACTTTGCGAACCCAGAACATGTCATCATTACTTTCTTTCCATAACTTTATCTCATCATTTATTTTTTCTGTTGACTACAATATAATTGTGAACATTCAACATACATAAGCTCGAAGAAAACATCTAAATATTTTACCACATACATAATATCTGGTCGTCTTTTCATCTGCCTTTCACCTTTCCTATCTATACTAGCAATACTCTGTCGTTCTGAAGTACTGATAAATGAGGATAGTCTAAAAGGAAGATTTTTTAATATTGCTCGAATAGATAATAGAATAACCGTTAATTAATAGGTTCCTTCATTTAGTGATCTTGCAAGTTCGGAATTAAAAGCTGGGTTAATCCAAATATTTTCCAGAAGAATTAAAACTTCTTTTATAACATCTGCGATTTTTTCTTCCGATTTTTTTCAGGATTCATCATGAATTAGTTTATCTGATATTGTATTCTGAATATTATGATTGACAAAACTTGTTATGAAATTTTCATACATCTCTTTAACTATTATCATAGGAGCAGACGTCATTTGTCAAGCAAGTTTCTAATATAAAATATATGTTATATTTAGCCTCAAAAAACCTTAGTCACATGTGACTACCTTCAACAAATTTATGGTTACCTACCTTAAATGCCTTTTTTAGATTTGATGACAACTGCTTGACAACTTCTGATTGATCACTAATAACTCAACTAGCCAAAGGATCCTTCCAAGTTAAGCTTTGAATAAATATAGCATTTATTTTGGAATACAATTGTTGATAAATAGGCAAAGTGTCTTTTCTAAGTTTTTCTTTTAGATCATTTATATTATTTTCAATCTGATCTAAGCCAAAAGGAATTACCTTATCTGTTTTAATTGCCCATGTCGTATAAGGTACAAATACCTTCAAATGCAATGTCGAACTAAAAAATGTATTATATTAGATTTTAGAAGTAAAAAAGAAGTTCTCATTATAAAAATAACACAATCATCAGTGCATATGCGAAGCTATCATCTTTGTGTGGCCATTATGCAGACAAAACTTTATGTAATACTAACAAAGCAATATAATAACTCATATCTTAACACAATCCTCAACATGACAGTAACCTTTTCATATAATAGATTGGTAGGGTGAATTACAAAACTGTATAACAGATTATAGCATATACACTCCTCTACTACGTGTAAGTATTTACTGACAAGCAAGCTGAATGGGTAGGCTGAATATAAGTAATAAACTAAAAAACAACTTGTTTATTCAGATTTACTTTAGTAAACGATTACACAGTATCATCATATAATAATAAAAGCTGAAATGTTTGTATAAATCCTAACTAACCTGTGATAGGATTTGGAAAATTTTTAATTGTCAAGAAAAACCTTCCATAAATACATTACTAACAGATCTCACAGCTCGTTCTACAATTGATTTTAACTCTGTTTAGGAAACCCAGCGGTTTTCTTTCATTCCAAGATAAATAACAGACATAACGTTTATTAGACGTTCCTTAGCTGTTATCAAGAATTCATAAATCTTATTATACATTACGGTAGACATAATTACGTAGTTAATTTGGAATATAAAATAATACTAATATACTGAGATAACGCAAACAGCAAAATAAATGACGAAAAGCTAAAAATTACCTATACCACCCTTTTAAATATCACCATTTTCTTACATTTATACCTCTCTAAACTTACATTTATGTTGGAGAAGAGATAGGAGAAATATGCAAGGCACTTTGTGCCAAAAATTTATGTTTGTTAGTAAAAAACATGTGAAATGTGTATTGAAGATCTCAACATTTACAAAAGCGTTGGAAATAATGCATATACCTTTTTTTGCTTGCTCGACCATGGGTAATATTATATAGATATTAGTCTACTCAGAATATAATAGAAATATCCCATCCCCTCCAGAGCAAATATTCATATTAGTAAATGCTATTCTGCTAAATATTATTCTGCTAAATGTTGTAAGATAGAGATCGATTTCTTGTGTGAAAATTAATTTGTTATTACACAGAGTTACAGATGATTTGCAGAGTATTACCTATTACATCATATGCACTTTAATGAGGATCGAAAACGTGCTAATTTATGTCATACATGCCAACATGCATTGTGGCAGAATAAAAGTAAAAAAATAGTGTAATCCTAAACTGGGTAGTAAAAAGATATTATCAATTGTTTAAGTACTTTTCATAATAGTCAATAGTAGATAGCAATTCAAACAGAAACCTTTGCGAGAAATCAACACTTCCATATGCTACATTATTCAATCGTCGTTCTAACTGATATTTCTTAACTTTTATCCATCTACTAGAAAAACAATAAACATACTTCTCATATGGTAGGGTTAATTTGACTGGATTAATTATTCCAATATATTTTGAGTAACTTTTTCTAAATAAAGCATAAAACTCATGGCAAGCTATAGCATACTCTTCTTGCATTTCAGGATTAATAACCATCTGTTCTTTTCTAAGTATACCTAAGAATTTCTTTCTATCAGGAGTATCATCATTCCTCATCGCCTCCCAAACTTGTCTTGCCGAAGATTCAGGTCTCTTCTTGTAATTCCTGTAAGCTCGCTGGATAACTGTTACATAGAAATTTTCAAAGTTATAATGATAGTAGTATTTAGAAATCAAGAATCCCCAAGATCTCTTCATTGATCTTCCTAAACTTCTCGAAAAATACTTTGTTATAGATTAGAGAATCTAATCCAAAATAGGTGGATCATGCATAGCGATTTTTATCCCGCAGGTGGTACATTTCACTAGGTGATCACCACATACAGAGTGTTACATGAACAAAGTAAAAAAAATAAATTGATTGATTTATTGATAATTTATACATGAATATGAAATATACTATTTTAATATTGATTCTATAGTCTGGAGAATTCGTTGCACATACTCACAGTTATTGTTAAAATCTAAGAAATCTATAATAGTTAACTCTCCGTCAAAAGTAGTAATATAGGAAGACTTGAACATATCAATTTCTAGCAAATTACATGGATATAGTTTGTCTTCCTTTTTACATTTATATTGTGCGTATTCTGAAATTTTAACAAAGTTTGTAACAATATTATTATAATAGTCTTTAGTAGTATGATAATGTCTAGGATTTACTAAATATTTTAGCATAATAGTTCAATCACTATAATCAACGAATCTATAATCTTGCTGATATGATTTTATAAAAGTAACTATATATGCTACAGTAGTTAGTCGAACATATAACTGGTCTTTTTTCTTTTCTGCCCAGTCATGTGAAGTATAATGATAATACAAACCATGCAATCTAGGATCATTCTAATGATGTGTAGGTACATCTCTGGCTAGAATTCTTTGACCAAAATAGTCTACATATCGATCATCAGGAATTCTTATACCACGAGGAGTTATACCTAAATACTTCTTCTTGTCAGGAGTATTATCATTTCTCACCATATTCCAAACTCGTTTTGCCTAAGTTTCAGGTCTCAACTTATAAGTTCTTCAAGCCTGTTAGATAACTTTTGCACTATTAATTAATCGATATGCAACACTTTTCTTAATTTCTTTTGAAGCATAACTACAATAAAACTCAGAGCTTTTTCTGTATTTAAAATAAATATTACCATAAATTTCATCAATCTCATTATCACTAAGCGCTTTTTTACTTTTCGTTTCCATAATACAGATCTATAATATGTAACATGCCTTTCCTCTATTTTAGCAATACATTCATTTAGATGCTTATTTGCATATTCCTCAGTATTTTCACAGATAAATACTAAGGAGTCGCATATGGTGCAATAAATATAAAATGAATGCTTCATGGGTTTGAATTCCCCATTTTCATATGATCTTTCAGTCATATGAATGAATTCGTTCTTAGAGAAGAATTTCGGGTTACGTTCAATAAGTATCCTAAATGGATAACGAATACGAGAATACCACATTTCTGGTGTTTCATTACTATACTTATATTGCAGAATGTTCAACGCCTATACTACTACAGGATTTAAACCATCATAGTAGTTAGTTTTAACCATTTTACAAGTATAAGGAAGTTTATAGCAATTTATAGCCGATTTTAGCATTTTTAGCAGTTTCGGTGTGTTATATTGATTCTTTCTAGAGAATATCATCATTCAAATTTATACGGATTTACTAGTTAAGAGATTTATAGCAGTTTTAATGCTTTATAGTGATTTTATTGATTTGTAGCCGATTTGCTGAGACTACACACCACTAAATCCAAAAGCTAAGCCACCCTTATTATTTGATTAATCATTTCATTAATCATCTCTAATATCTCTAATGCATCACTCGATATTTCTATAAAACCGGCCCAATTTTCAGGAAGTTCTCTCACCAATGTAAACATGTCTTCTTCTACTGAGTGGTCTGATGCTCAGCTTCGCCTTCTCATCAATGAACGAAAGCAAAGAAATTCTAAATACCATGCAACCCCAAATAAAAAGAAACGAGCTTTCTGGGACGATGTCGCTAATAAGTTGAATGAACAGGAAAATACTAACTATTTCCTGGGTGAGGACTGTCACAAGAAGTTCTTAAACCTCACAAAAGCTTTTAATGTAAGTAGTCCTGCTTGGGTTATACGTGAAATCGCGTTACTCCGTTATGTCGTTGGCTAATTTACTTATTGATATATTAGACGGCAAAAAGATATAGAGAAGGTACCAGTGACAAGAAGAGTTTGGTTGGGGAGAAAATATACGAAGAGTTCTCGACGTTGTTCTGGTTAAAGCCTGGTATGTTTCTGTAGAAGATATTTTTCGAGAGTCTGCTTATTAACACGATCTAATTTATCAGAATTGCCCTTCGTCCAAGAACATAATGAAAGTGTTAGAAGAAAAAGTGGGACGAGCTCATCTTCAGAACCTTCAACAATTACCACTCCCGAAGTAACGGCAGGTGAACAGTCATCTTCCTCTTCAAAACAACCTGAGCGTTCCCTAAGAGAATCATCTCCAAAGTCGTCAAAAATTCCAAAGAAACGCCATCATCTACTTCGGTAATACCATCAACTGTCGAATCCCCCGCTATCTCTGCCTTTGGCGCTTCTAGCAGGCACATCCTTCTCTCAAAATGCGAACGTTATTAATGTTACTATCAACAATAATTACGCCGGTGCTCCAGAAGAAGAAAACTAGAGTTTTTTCATTCCTCTCATTATTTACTGCTGTCCGCTAATGCAAAACATTTATAGCTGTAATACGTAAATAATGTAGAAAAACAAATGAATGAGTACAATATGATTTATACTTGATCTGTAAGGCGCTTCATATAAAATAAACACACGTATTCACTACCTGACAGCCAGTCAGTAAAATTTATTACGAAAATTTTCTTGATTATACATGGGAAATACATATTTCATTTCTATATCACATATATACAAATCCCTGCCAGTTCCTCGATAGTTCTAGGAGTGTTCCAGGAGCTGGCGAGTTTCTATAAATCACGAAATGATCGGTGAGAGGGCAGTCATACAGCATTTATAAGAAAATTTATGTCCATTAATTATGCAGTGTCAGTATCGATCAAAAAATATGGACACGCGTGTCCACCAATCATGCAGTAGTCAGAACAGATATTGCCCCCGAAGCATTTTAGCAATTACGTATTTAATGTTATCCTTAGACAAAGCTATTACCCATATTTACATCCACATCGATGCTGTCTTGCACATATACTCAAAGCCAGAGAAAAAAATGCCAAGAAAATTATGAAGTATTTTGTGCGACTTTTTAGACTGCGGTTCGGAGAAAATTTTTCCGTAATGACATTATGGAGTAAAGTCTGCTGAATCGCGTGATTTGCACAATCAGCCATAAATAGAATTTTTTTTTAGATTATCCATCAGTCTTTCATTCATTTTTTTTTACTTGCTCCAAACTAGCTCGGAATGGCCTATTATATTTATAGGAGCGTTTTACCATCTCGCCTCGTTACCCGTCAAGTCATGTTCCTTCAGCCACAAAAATTTGCGTTAAGGAATTCAAACCCTGTTCTATTTCAATCGTCGCTTTCGAGATCTTACACAAACTCTATTAAATCCCCTCCTCCTAACACACCTTCCGAAGAGTCTACTTCGTCCTCAAACCTAAATAAATACCTGGGTAGAATCGGAAAAGGCTATGCAAAACGGCTTCCGGTATAAGATGATTGTTATTTTTTGTGCATTTTTCGGTCAAATTTCTCAACACCTTTTTGTTGTTCGTAGACTGCTATTTTGGCGAAAATAATTGTAACTGTCCTTGTTGGTTCTATATCAGTGGACCTTCTGTATGCTTGGTACCGAAATAGATGTAACGAACGTCTTCTCAACAAAACAGTGGAAAAAGGTACTCGACCTGATATTGGAATTTCAAGTGACAAGTTTGTTCCACGACCTGAAATTGTAAAACGCCTTAAGGAAATTCTTCAGCCTTATGAAGATCAATCATCTTATTACATGGTTTGTGGTGAACATGGAACCGGGAAAACCACACTGACCAGGATTGCATCGAGCGAAGTTGGGAATGGTGTTATATATGTTGACATTCCTCCTGATTTCGAAGTCTTGGGTGAGACTTTTGGAAAAGCTATTAATTTTGCATTTGAAGAAAAGATTTCTATCACAGAACAACTGGGACGAAAAATCTTGGGTATAACTAAAGGTAATAAACTAGAGCATTAGTGCTTAATACAGCTAATCAACATTTTTGACATGACTTCCTTTTTTACAGACAAGCCTGAGATTTCTGAATGGAAGAGAGCTATGAGAGCCTTCAAGCGTGCTTCTACTGTGTATAAAGCAAAGTATGGTAAACCTCCTGTCATTGTTTATGACAATGTTAGTCGATTGGTTCATAAGAACCCGGAAATCCTCGATATTCTCCAGGACGATGCAAAGGATAATGCCGATGACCGAAAGTACATTGCTGTATTTGTCAGCAGTGAAGGTTCGGTGCCTAGAAGAATGGAATGTAAGTATGAAATTATTTTTTGTGCTCCTGAAAAAATTATTACTCACAGATCGTGATTCTTATTTTAGCTCGTAGTTCCTGGTCACGTGCAGATAAACCAGTGATGGAAATCGGTGATCTTAGTAAAGAAGAATCTATAAATTATCTAGTTGACAAGCGTAAGATAAAAAAGGAAGAAGCAATAAGATTATATGAGTTGGTTGGTGGTCGTATTGTTGATCTAAAATCTGTAGCGGATAAATCTCTGGCCAAACAACCCTTTGAAGGTAGGAATTGATTTTATTATTTTCGCATCAAATGAATTTACACAACTCTGTCCTATATTAAATTTTTATTTCCTTGCAGTCATTAAACAGTCGATTTTAGGTGAAGTTGAAAAGAAATTCAACACTGCACAACTCCTCCGAAAGCAGTTGCATCATGAAGTAGGAAAGAAAGCGATCAAAGCTTTATTTGACTCTAAAGAGTTGGGCTTTACAACATTTATGGAATTTTTCAATGATTATGAAGAAGCCAGCAAAGTATTGGAAACTAATATATTCGCGTACCATCCGGAAAAAAATACTGTTAGCTTTCAGTCTCAATCAGTAGAATGTTATATTCGGGAAAAGGCAGACATATTCATTAAATAGGGTCTAAGAATATACTTTAAAAGTTGCATAGAAATTTACGAAATAATATATGTATATAATAATTAATGTATAGCAAAAAAAAATGATATGATTAAAAAATAAATCCAAATATGGGCGAAACTTTATTAGTTTTCATATAATAAAATGGAAAATATTAGAGAGGCAAGTGAAATATATGATGCTATCAAAGAGGGAGGGAGTACGCGGATCCTAGGCCATTTAATACGAGTCCCAGCATCAAATTATTTCTTTGCTCTCTCAGTTTTATTATTAATTTCTATATTAATTGTTTTGTTTCTATCACTATTGCTATTTACGAAATTCTCATCCCCACTCTTTACTACACTAAATTTCCTAAGTAAATTATCCCACCCATTTCTACGCCAAACTATGAAAAAGGTTATTTCCCGCGAGAGAGCTTCTTCGAGATTAAGAAATTTCGAACCTACAGCATAAATTCGGGAGATTAGCAACTGAGTTAAAAAAAATAATATTTCCAATTAACACTTACCGATATACTTCATTTTCACAATATTCCATTCCGCAAGGAATTGATTGCCTAATTTTTTCTGCGTTATCGCCGTAACGATACTGCGCAAAGTTTCAAGAATTCGGCACGTGAAGATGCGCCAGACTTTTGCTGTGCCGTTGCATGTGACGAGATTCATGTGAGTAATTTCACTGCGCCTATTATTATACGCGTGATGATTGTCAAAGATTTTCTCGGCGAAGATCAAAATGCCGATATATAACAAGAAGAGTAATCAATCCTATTCCATTTAAAATGTATTATCTCCCTATTCTATGTATACGCAAAAAGGAAAAAAATCGGAATAATAGTGTATACGCGTAATATTGGATGCGCTAACGTCAACAGGATAATACATTCATTCTGAGATCTGTTTTACAAATTTAATCATCATGATAGGCGAGTGTACAACATACAAATTCAAGGGGCGGTTTTTTTATTAAAATATATGCCAAAACTTTCGAGCAAAGCTATAAAAAATGGCCATGTGTTATGTCATTTTTTTCTTAAAGTGATACATGAGAAAGGGCCGGCCAGCAAATATAATTATTGAAAAATTGTTATTGAGAGGCAGGAATAAACCATAAATGCAATAAATGCATAATGTCTGCCGAGCCCTAACCGGTGTCACATACAGAGAGTTCATCTGCGATTTTAGTATTAATTTCATTCTTAATTTTGCAGATCTTCGCAGTAATAGACGTAGAGAGTTCATCAGAAATTTTTTGTTTGAGAATCATCTACATGGTAACGATCCCCATGAATATGATCGAAATGACGAACAAAAAAATAGCGGGTAGAGCCAAAAATGACAAGCTCCCCGAAGAGTTGAAAATTGTTAAACTGGACATGATATAGATAGAGTGATGCGTAGTAATTTTATTGTGAGCTTATTGGTGGATCAAAGTTTACAATGTTTGATCTGACGCAATTATTTAGAATGAACGATTTTTTTTGCATACATGCGTTAGAGACATAAGGTTCTTTATACTTTATTATTCCTAATGCCCATGAAATGGATATTTAACCCAATTTGTCAGAGTGAAGTAAAAAATTATGTTATTGCTTCGTAAGGGCGTTTTCCACCAATTGTTAAAAAATACAGTTTAACCGTTTCAAAGTTAATCTGATGAAATCATGAAATCAAGACAAATTGATAGATGTCAGTTAATACTAATGAAGTAATAGAAAGGGAGTTGTCACTGTTTAATATCAAGATCGTACAAGATCTGAAAACTATAGCAGATCGCTCACGTTTATTTGTGTAATTACACGCTATTTTAAACCCTTATTCGTGTCCTATACAAATCTACCAACAACCCATAAATGGAATTTTGTTTTATTATGTAGAATGGATATTGTACCCCTAATCCCTATTACATTTCATAAGATCGAGGTCTGTAAATCAGTAGATCAAGACACTCAATTCCCATTCTAACATTAGGGCAGTGGATCAATCTGTAATTCAAAGATTCGTAATATATGTATCATGCCAGAATTTTCCGGAAAAAAGCGAATATCACTACCAGATTAATTATTTATTGATCTAACTCTCCCAAAGATTTGCAAAATATCTGACGGCATTACATAAGATCTTGGCCCTGACCTCATTGTTACAAAAATAGCATTCTGTTGATCATTATTATGAAAATATGACATCTAAAAATAAAAACACTGCGGAAATAGCACAAGGCATAGTTAAATCACAGGGACTTCCCCTGCGTACCCATCAAAAAATGTCACGTCAGCCCGCATTAAGACTTTTGCAGACCCATATGCATGATCATGCATGTTGCTGATCCTTAATGTTGGCCATTTCGTGACATTTTTTGATGGATACGCAGAGGTAGTCAATCACAGGAGAAGTATAGAGATGACGTACTTACTGCGTAATGATATCTAAGCCACCCACGTGATTCGAAAAATAATGCGAATATATATGCTTTCAGGTGATCGATTTCCTCACATGACGAAGTTTTCATCCTCTATGCTTTTACAGATACTATTGGGATTTCATGATTAAGAGGATCTTTGCATGTGATATGATAAGTTCGTTCTTCACAATAGTTACTATAATCCCATTCACCTTTTATATCACTCCATAAACTTTCTTCTTTATGGTCTCCCTTACATAATAGACAAAGTGTTAAGCTATTAAGATTAAACCACTCATAATGTTCACTACTATCTCTTAAAGATAAAGAAGGAAACCGTTCTAATACCAACCCAATGATATATTTTCGTTTCTCTTCAGGATCTTCAGGCAAGATAGAAATCGGAAGTCTGGATTTCTTAGATGATATTACCTGAGACACAAATGATATACTCATAGCTACTAGACCAATTTTAGAGGAATCATCTGAAGAATTGCTGTTAAGGCGCTTCGCAGAGACGTTTTCAGCTGTCATGGGTGTAGTTGATGCATTTACTTCAGACAAGATTTTTTCAGAAATTTTAGGAATCAAAGACTTATCTTTTGGTAACATGTGATGCAGGGACGATGATTTCTGGCTTTAAGCAGAAAGCCGCAGATTTTGCCGAATGTTATACTAAAAGCAGAAATTAAAAAATAGTTAGCAGATTTTCGCAGATTTTAGGAGATATTGTGTGTCACATTATATCGACCAATTAAAATTGGTCAGATCGAAAAA